GCCCCGCATCGGGCTCCCTGCTCCGCGGGAAGCCTGCTTCTCCCTCTCCCACTCCCCCTGCTTGTGTTCCCTCTCTCGCTGTGTCTCTGTCAAATAAATAAAATCTGAAAGGAAGAAAGGAAGGAAAGAAGGTCCAGAGGGGATCAGTGCAGCCCAGCCATCCTTGGGGGCCTTTTCTCGCAGCCTTTGGTTGAAACCACTGGTACCAGAGCCCTTAAATTGATTTCGGTGATGAGTTCTGTAACTGGATGGGATTCCCGCTTACTGAGATTTACCAGTGACTTTTTTTTTTTTTTTTTTTGGCGAGCCCCTGGCACTCAATTTTAAGAAAACTAACAAGAAAGTATGGTTATTTTGATAGCTTGACCTCCAGAGCAACCCCTCCCCTAGCTGTCTGTGGTTTGTAAAGCATTAAAACTCCTTTAGTCTTCCAATGAAAAAAAACAAAAATCCAAAAAGCATTTAATCCTAGGGGTCTGTCAGGAGAGATAAGAGCATCTATAACTCTTATGTTAAAGATCCTTTGAGGCAGTTCCAGTGGAGTTTGGGGAGCAAATAAGAAATCGCATTTATGGAAAATCAGATCATTTACTTATAGTAAAATAAAAAGACCAACGGCTGTCACTAGACTCTTCCCTTTTAGGGATGCAAGTTACCAATTATGCCTAAATTATTCTTCCTAGACTAGAAGGCTCCTTCCTTCCTTCCTCGTTCTTAAGGAATGATGATCTGCTAGTTCGGTACTTTATTTCTGTACAACAGTTCAGATTCTCTCTGGGGAGGTTCAGCAATGATCTGCTGAATGGTGTCGCAGTGGCTCACCCAGATACAATTGTAGGATGCTCTTCAGTAGGATGCAGACCATTGGGCTCAGCAGGGGAGGATTCAAAATACAGAGCCTCTGGTTCCTATAAATATTCACACTGTATCTGCTCCAGGAGATAAGCTGGTTTCACTCCCCTTTAGGAGCAAATAGTGGTGCCTCTCTGGCCATAGTATGGGAGACCTGAAGATGGTTTTAATTTACCGCAGAAGTTTAACGTAGGCTGGATCAGGTAGCTTTACACCCCTCTGTCCCCTTATGAGCCGCCTTTCTTTCCTCCCATTTCCTGCCTTCTGAGGTGTGGCACTGCCATAGTTATAACAAATGGTGATCAATATAGGGACCACCTGTGGCTCTTGGCTGAGTCAGAGTTTAGGAATCATCTGGTAGCTCCTAGCAAAGCAGCTGGCTGTTTGTTTGTGGAGTATTTTTTTTCCCTCCATCAATTGTAAACAATCTCTTCCCTACTTAGCATGAGAAGTCTGCCAACTTAAAAGCAGTTGGTCTTCTGAGACCTAGGTTTCTAGTCTCAAATATCCCCACTGTTTTTAGCCTTGGTGATGTTTCTCTGTGAAATAAGGTTTGGGTTGAATGCCTGCCTACACAGGTGAAGCTGAATGCCTCTCCTGTTAGGAGAAAACAAAAGGCAGACCCTTTCAAAAGGGGGAGGAACAGGAGCGGGTAATAAAACAGAGAACTACAGAGGCAGGGTACACTTCTCTAATTCCATGTACCATCCTGTGAGCTGCCTGAACAAGAATAGGGAATGAAGGATGCCTTTGGTGTGTCCCGACCTGGGGACAGTGTTTAGTGTTGACCACAGCACGTCTGCACAGCACACCTTCTCTGGACTCTGCTGGCCACTGTCTCTCTGTTCCGAGCCCCGTCCCCCTCCAACAGCAGAACAGTACTAAGCCCATGCCAGCTAGGAGCCCCTTCTCACCAACAACCTCCCCCCCCCCCCCGCCACTCCCGCCTCACCCACCCCCAGGATGAGTAATCTCAGCGATGTGAGCCTCAGGCCCCTCTTCTCCAAGTCTACAGTCCTGCAGCTGAAAACCCCAGTGTTGCTTTCCAGTGTACCTAAGGCTGAACCAGGAAGCAGGAAGTTTACCTTGGTACCCTGGATGAGTAGTGCAGGAGATAAAAATAATAGTTCAGATTTTTATGAGTGCTTACTATGTGCCAGGAAGCCACTGGTCTATGAGCTTCATATATTAGGCTGTTTGTTTTACCAAAACAATCTGGGTGCTAGCCAAGGGAGTTTGACCATTTGGGTATGTATGGGAGCAAATTAGCATAGAAATCTCACTGGCCTTACTCTACTACTAAGCCCTTTGGGGCAGTGGCATCTTTCTTAAATGCCCTGTTAATGCGAACAAAATGAGAAATAGGCCTCCTTTTTTCCCTTCCCTCCCTTTTTATCTCCTCTGCCCAAAAGGTCTTGATTTTGAAATCTTTCCACCTTTTCTAAAGTTGTCTTTCAATATCTTGGTATGTGTGTGTTGATGGTATAGGGCTGGGAGAGGTCTTTTTTTCTTATTCTAGGCCTGCGCCTATAAAAATCAAGATTAGTAAAAACTGACCACAAAATAGCAACTTTAGTGGCTATTATTGAATTTAATGAAGAAAGTAGCCTCTTTAAATAGTTTTGCTTTAAAAAAAAAAATTAAATGTCATCGTTCCTAAATGGCGGTGGCTTTTCTTGTTAAAATTTTCAGTTGTAATTTTCCATTGGCTTTGCATTTCCTTGAAATGGACATAATTGAACTCTCAAAATAAATTATTGCTTGACAGAAAACCTATAAGCAGGCAACACAAATAAATCTTATAGCCCTTCCTTCCAGGCCCTACCTCAGGAATCCAAAACCTAATAACCAAGAGAAAAGTGCAGGGTTTGTCTTTGGTTGAAGCTTTATCTACATTCGACAGTGGGAGAGCATCATCAACGATGTCAAATTCTTCTTAAACTAACTTTGGAAATGAGTCACTTGGACTTAAAGCAGGTCATTGTCATTTCTATAAGGAAGGCAGGTGCTCAAATTCCTTTGGGTAATGTTCTCAATTAGAGGAGAGTAAGATAAACTATAAATACTTAAAATTTCTGGGGAATGGCCACAGTCTATGGCCCAGGCTCTGAAAACTTTCTGCTAAATCTCAAATGTGTGATTAAGAGAATAAAACCACTTCATTTTATGGTTCTCTGCAGGTGGAATTTAGGCTCTTGGTTTTCATTCATGGTGCATGAGTGTGTTTTCTCTAAAGATAAGCCTTCATGTGGCCTCTTTACACACAAAAGGTTCTAACTTTGCTTTCTAAAGCTGTTCTCAGCTTTGGTATGTCATGTACCAAATGACCTTCCCTCTTTTTCCCTTCCCCCTCAACTTTGATTGAAATTTCTTGTTGGCTCTAAGGACTCAGAGTTCAGCTCTCCCTTTGTTCTGCCCCTCTTTTCCTGCTGAGCTGGGAGCAGGTAACTGGCTGCTCAGTGCTTCTGTGTGCTCTAGTCATGCAGGTAGACAAGCACCCGCTTCTGTGTGACGCAAAGCCTGGCCCCAAACATTCACCCTTGGCTTGCTTAAGAAACTGTCTCTAAGAGAGGGCATTTCTGCAGTAATCTCTGTGAAACCCAAAAATATCCTGTTTCGCCCAAATGAAAAGAAGGCTATAGATATTAGGAAACTCGGTAAATGGCCTTCCTAGGGCAGATTAACAAATGATTACCCATCAAGCTCCTCCCTATGGGTCCAGAAACACCACGTATATTGTTGATGTCACGTGTGTTTATGTAGCAAGATACTTATTGAAGTGCTACTTGAGAAATGAGTGCAGCAACAGGATACTGGAAATTGTTTTAAACCCTCTTTTCTCTCTTACTATTTACATAATGTCCATTGAATGGAGAAACGCAGGTGTGCCTCGTTTTACCCAACAGATGTATGTCAGAAGATCTAAAGCAAATCCCATTTTAAATTCAGCAGAGGGACTCAGAAAATTAAAGGACTCTGATAGATTGGTGATAGAAGAAAAAGCCCCCAGTTTGTTTTACCGGTGGGCATTATAAATCCTGCCTTGCTCATCCATACCCATGGGGTTTGGGGAAGCTACTCACTATTCCTGATATTTCTCTATCATCCCTTCTACAGAAACTCTTCAGAGACTCTCTGTAAAGTTACATGGTGTAATAGCCTAGAACTCAGCCTACTGACGGAAGTATGCACCTGACCCAAGTTGAACCTGTGCATCCTTCAGTGACCTGTGGTTAGGGCCTTTCGGTCTTTTCAGCCCTTATAAATTTATGAACTGTGAATTCAGCTGGTTTCATTTAGGACCCTAAGTCTTTACCCCACAGCATGATGCCTAGTGTTAGTCACAGAATTACGTGAAACTTAAACAATTAGCGCTGTACGCTAAACATCTCCTAGAAATGGAGGGTATAAGTCCGATTTTTGGCAAATGTGATCATGTTTCAAAGCCATGATAGAAGCATGCTCGTTAAAAGCAGCTTGGGTACACTTTAAATGGGTGGATTGTATGGTATATGAATTCTATCTCCATACAGCTGTTTTTTTGTGGGAGTGGTTTTTTTTTTTTTTGGTTTTTTGGTTTGTTTTTTTAGAAAGCAGCTTAGGGTGGATGCTTTTGCAAAATGAAGGCATTGTGGACTACAGTGATACCAGTAATCTTCCCTCTCCCTCCCCACTGCAGTCATCCTTTTGCTTAAAGTAATATTGTAGTGCCCGGCATTGCCCTTAGTTAAAGGGTGCAGGGCTGTGTGTCCAACACAATGGCAGGCACTGTTGGAAATTCAAAAGAAGTAGAAGCCCCCATCCCTGCCTTCCACAGAGCTGCGAGAATATTTCATCCCCAAAGAGGGAGGTCTGTGCCTGAACAGACTTCTTTTCAAGGGGGTTTACTGTTTTGTTTGGGAAGATGTATGTTTTATAACCCAGTAAGTTATTTATAGAAACAGCTCTTACTAAAGTATAGCTGTCACAGCTCATCCCCTCTTCTGTTGTTCTTAGTTACTGCAACAAGGAAGTATACAACAAGGAGAATCTTTTCAACAGCCTGAACTATGATGTTGCAGCCAAGAAGAGAAAGAAGGACATGCTGAATAGCAAAACCAAAACTCAGTGTAAGCCATTTGTTCTAAACTTGGAAGAAAGCTGTTTGAAGATCGTTAGGATGGGTTCTTGGTCGGGGGGGGCGGAATTAGACCCCGAATGTGAGACATCTGCTTTAATGCTGACTGTCATTGACAGAGGTTACTGGGATCTCTGCACTCCAGCTGGCTGTGCATTTTACAAGCAAGATTAATGTGTTCTTTATAGTCTTGTTTATAAGTCAGTTGGTAGTTGGGGTGTTTTTCTCCTGCTTGTCACTTACATCTGCCATAGTTAATTTAGTTATTATACAGTGATATGGTCAGCTGAATCAGTTCCAGCATGTGTTTTTATTTGGCACTGGGCTTTGAGGCTTTGGAAATAGATTTGTTTCTCCCTCTTTCCTTATATAAATACCATTACATTTCTCGATGCCATATGTAAGAGTATAAAGTTCTATTAATAAGCGGGAATTATAGATCTTTAGTTTAATCCACCTGTACAAGATGATTTCCTCATGTTACCTGCTTTATTTCTACTTTTTATGGCCTTGTATAAGTTGTAGGCTTGGCATTTAAAACAAACTTGTCCTTGGGTATTTGGTTTTTTTGGGTTTTTTGGTTTTTTGGGTTTTTTTTTCAATTTGGAGCTTTGGCCTACTAAGTCTGATGATCAAAGATTTGGAGTGCTTCAGACCAAGCGAGCTATAACACCAGTCTGTATGCGCTGCAGAAGTCAGGCATTGGCATCTCATAGGTTGTTAGTAGAGTCTTCATCTTGTTTGTCAAAACGTTTGACACTTGGGAATACATAAAAAAGAAACAAGTTTAAAATTTGGGGCGTGTTGCAAATTTTAAAGCTGTGTGGGGTGTTTGTTTGTTTGTTTATTTATTTATTTATTGCCTCTGTAGATTTCCACCAAGAAAAATGGATCTATGTTCACAAAGGAAGTACTAAAGAGGTGAGCATCCATCCGTTTATTAAAGAATATGCTTAGCTTTAGGCCCCTCCTGACAGGGTAGGGAGGGAAACTGGGCAAGAATATTACTTCAAATCATGGCTGTCTTCTTGGGTGCAGCTGGTGGTGACTAGCAGTCTGCCACCCACCCAACCATCAGGGTTTAGGGCTACAGAGAGCGTGAGAAGCAAAAGTTGCTAGGTGGACTCCCCGGTCATTCAGTGAGACAAGTGTTTGGTGGTTAGCCCTTCTTTCCCGCTTCTTTTGTTCTGAGATCTCTTCAGACTCCAACTTTGTTAAGTTTTAGCCCCAGAAGGGCTAACCACTAAACACAGCAGCAGTTTTAGTGCCCGCGCAGGGGACAAGACACGGTAGTAAGTACATTTGCGTGGCACTTTATAAGACCCTTTTGTGTACATTTCTCTCTGCACAGGCATCTGCTCAGATACCTAGAATACAACACAGTATGGCAGAATGATAGAATTTCTGTCACTCTCAGGGACCTTGGTGAATTTGTACATCCTTGTGTGGTTTGAGGCCCTGCCGGGGGTTCAGGAACATACACGCCACCACCCAGATACTTGGAGCAGAGCTGGGACGGAGTCAGGGCTCTCTGCTCCCAGTTCCTTGTGTGTTCACAGGTAAAAGATCAAAACTTCTTTTTGCTTCCTCGTGAAGCCTTAAAAATGCTTCTGATGATCACAATGAGAAAAGCACTAGAGATACGAGGTAGCACGCAGAGCTGACACCAGGAAATGTAATTCCCCTCCCAGGGGATGTTACCGTGACCAGCTATCACCCTGTCACCCATCAGACATCCAACTCCTGACCTTCCCTTGATGAGCAGCTACTTATGATTTTCCCATTCAGCTTTGTACAAGGGCTCAAACGGTAGAAATCATGAGGAGGGGTGTTTAACACGTGAGTCATTGACTAAAGCAGCTCTCGGCTGCCCTGCCCATCGTTGTGGCTCACAGGGGGTTCCCAGAAAGAGCTGTTCGTGGCAGGAAAGCCACAGATGGCCACAGGTCACCTGAGGCAGGCACCCGGCTTGTCAGTAGAGTCCAGGGGGCTTGTTCTGGAGAATGACCTCTGAGCCCCCTGTTTTCACGTTCAGCGCCATGGATACTGCACTTTGGGGGAAGCTTTCAACAGGCTGGACTTCTCAACTGCTCTTCTGGATTCCAGAAGATTTAACTACGTCGTACGGGTGAGTCTCCGTGGGTTTCAGGTCTCGGTTGAATTGTCTTTTCAGGTTGTCTTGAGGTAGCTTCCTGCCCTCGCCCCAAAATAACTTCTTAGGACACCGGGAGTTTTGAGGAAAGCAGAAGACAGACTTGTCACCTCCCCTCTCTCTAGATGTACTCCACGTCCTTACGTGGATCCCATTAGGATGTCCCTGACATTGGCTGTGACAGACAGCAGTGGCCATAATACTCCTGTGAGCCACTCCCAGCCCACGGATGAAGGGGAACACGCTGCAGGCAGCAAGGGCAGCAACATTAGTAAGAGCGAATTCATAGTAAGCAAGCCGGGAAAACACCATGGCTTGTTTTAAAAACCTTCTGTGCCTCGGGCTCTTCTCACTGTCCTCCTCCTTGTCCTGCCTCGGTGACCCCAAGGCAGTCGTGGTTTAGGCTACAAAACCAGATGAGTTCAGAGCACCTCAGGGCTTCTTGCCCATGACTCCCTTCCATCCCCATGGGATAACCTATTCGGTCTTTGGTCTCGCGTTCACTAAAACTTGAAACTACCTGTTTGGACCACTTGCTTTCCATCTGAAACCCTATATTGCCGGGGGGGGGGGGGGGGGGAGGCGAGGATTTTTTTTTAATAATGAGCTTTAGCGAAATATTCGTGATGAATGGAGTAAAGCAAATGAGTCTAACCATGCCCCTCAAGTCCATGATTCTTTTTAATCGGTTTATTATTGTTTCCCCCACTCTTAGCTGTCTTGTGCCTTTCTGTCAGTGGTTCAACCGGGGAGGTCGTGGCTGTTTGGGTGTTGGTTGGTTGGGTTTTTATTTTCTTTCTCCCTGGTTGTTATGCTGCTCTGTGCCAGGTCACTGAGTCAGATGATTGCACAGCTCAGCCAGAGTGATGACATCAAGCCCCCTTGAGGCCTGGATCATTCACCTGTCTTCTGGGCAGATGCAGGCCTGGCCGTCCCAACGGACCTGATACCCAGGCCTCCTTGGAGGTCAGAAGCTCTGAGCTGAGCGTGCGACCGCATGAGCAGATCTGTCCGCTCTCAGCTGAGCCCTTATTGCCATCCAAAAGGGATGAACATGAGAGAGCTTCTGGATGAGATGTTCGTGTCATTCAGTGTGACTCTGCCCCTCCGGGGGGATCACTGTGGCCCGAAGCCCAGCCCAGGCTGGGTGGAGAGAGGCCTGGCAGGAGCTGGAAACTCTGTTGCTAAGAATATGAATAGTTTCCATGTTCTAGGTGTCAGGGGAGGACAGCCAGTGCTGATGTCTTCATTTTGCAAACGGATCAGCAAAACGGTCCGTTCTTAGATGGCTCTCCTTCCTACCTGTTTTTCCTTTCACAAGAAATAAAGCAAAGGGACAAGATCACAGTAGCCAAAATCTATTTCCGCGTAACTATGTGCACTCACCTTTATCCTTTCATTAACCCTATGGAGTGTGGGGACTTGGATGATCTGTTTAAACAAAGGGGAGTGTGGGCGCCTGGGTGGCTCAGTTGGTTAAGCGACTGCCTTCAGCTCAGGTCATGATCCTGGAGTCCCGGGATCGAGTCCCACATCGGGCTCCCT